TCATCCAGATAGCTTACGAAGAGGATATCTAGTTGTTTCAGTCAAATCAAACCAAAATTCTACAAAATCTTAAACCTTTACAAAGAAAAAGCCACGCTATCTGATTCTCCTCATACTAATTATAAATTTTTAGGTAATCACAAGAACCACGACCAACTCGCCGACTCTTTTAGAAACAGATGTGGTGTTGATATCGAAGAAGAACTGCAAGAAACGCTGGGAGCCTCGGTACCACCACATCATTGAGGATGACATGATATGCGCCAAGGATTCACTGGACACTGACACTATGAGCGAATTGTGCAGTGTAAGAACATCGCAATACGAACCAGTTAAAATACAAAATACTTACTTACGGATCTAGAACATTTGGGTTCATTAAAATTAGACGTTTTCAGCAGGATCTGTCGTGCGTTTGCAAGACCACACACCACTAACTATTGGTACCTAATTGTCAATTTTAAAGTTTACTTGTCATCCAATACAATTTACCGTTTGCGGTCCTGCAAAAACGTCCGGCTCAAAACATCAAATTTGAAAGAGCTCTAAGAAATCGGATCAACTGCATGAACTGCCATAAGAGATACCAGCTTTTGGTTTTGGAGATGAGTGTTTTTTTTCAAGATCATCATTTCAGCCTATTACATACATAGCCTTTGCTAATATTCTTTAAACTACTACGCTTGCTACATTTATTTGCCAAAATGGGATTTCTATTCGATAACACGTTTACTCCTCCCTCTGTCGTCGGTTCATATTGCTGGCCTACTGCCACTTTAGTTTGCTATATTTTAGAATTTTGGATGACCATTACAATTCCAAAATTTTAGTCTGCAGCAAGGGACAGTTTTCGTCCAAATTATAATTATAGTACAGGTGGTACAAGCTAGAAAAATCTGGGGGGAAATCTCCGTCTTCACCCCTTGCATATTATTTTGTTTAACTTTCTCCACAGGAACAAGAGGTGAACTGCAAAGAGCTGGTATACTCCGACGAAGCCGAGGAAGAGACCCGCAAGTTTGCGGACCCTCGCTCGATGCAGGTGCACACGGCTGCTCACGTCAGCGACACTAGACGGACTAAGGTCGTCGTTGGAGGATTCTGTGAGGTAGGTATTAGTCTTGTCTGGATGTGAAAATAAATTCCATACGTTCTGGATACAAGTTCTTTAACTCTGTTTCATATGTTTTGCTTAGACGAGAAATAAAGTAGGTTCACTCGCTCTCTCTACTTTAGCTCACTCATTTACCTATTTACTTCTATGGGGAAGATTCATTTCTTGTTCTTAACTTACCTTGATTCATTTTACTAGAAGTATTAAATAATTAAGCAATAAAGAATTTGAATTTAATAACGCTGTATCGTATTTTTTTTTATGAATAAGAGAGCGAGTGAAAAAGAGAGCGTTAGCTTCTACGCGTAATTGGAGTTTCTTATACGGGACTATTCCCACCTCTCGTTCCCACCACTGCAACTCCTGTGTAGCCAGGATCTACAGCTTGACCGCCACAAAAACCCAACCAATGAAGGTCAAGTTTGTCCCGGGGGAAAGTTAAACTGTCATTGGACCCGCAACGAAATTAATCAGAAGAACATAGGAGGAGTTCGAAATTAAGGTTCGACTTCCCTCCATTGCAAAGCGGATGACAGGTGACAAACAAAGGTTTAAAAACCTTTAAGAAAAAGATTATGCACCACGGACAATAAATTAAATTAAGGGGGCCTATCTTATGAGTAATTAGCAACTACCTGCCAATAATATTTTTCACAAAATCGCTTAAAAGCACGGAAATTTTTCCTTGTCGCGACAAGATCGGTGTAATAAATTGCGGAAACAGATGTATCGTTTAGGAGTTCCTATGGCCAGCTCCTGCCACCTCTTGACTTCATCATCAGGACCCTGAACATCATCTAGCACTAAAGTGCTCGAAAAGACAAGTCCAACGAACCCAAACTAGATGTAATGCCGCCGTTTTGTTAAGAGTTCTTATGGCCACCTCCATACTCCATCCAGCTCCATGGTACCATAATATTGCATTGTCATCGTACTTATAGCCTGACCAGGAACATAAAAACCCTGGCATAGAGGCGCGTCAATTGCATTTGATAGTGCAACACTGAGTACAGTCGTAGCTGTGTTAAATTAATAGGCTAACTTTATGTATCAGAATTCAGGATTACGGGCTAATTTGATATTTTCATAAATTAACGAAAAAATATTATTATAAGTAACCTGGTTTAAATAAATTAAATGAAACCATCAATCGAGCTAGTAGGATTTATTTTATACGAGGGCGGCACTGAAAATTTCGGGNACAAAAAGAAAAAGCTACTTTAACGGTTTCATTATATAACAGTAAATATATTTATCAAATCGAATCATTTTAATGTATCAATAATTTATCAGATCGAAATGAGTATCGTTTTGAAGACCGGGTTTGTGAGAGTTACAATATCAAATTCCAACCACAAACCGTATTTAAAGGAAAGTTGTTGGTATTGGCTGGACAAGTCCGAGATGTAGAAGAATTAAGAACAAAACAAGAGCAGAGTTCAATAATTCACGCTCTCATCATAAGGCAAACATCTGTGCACAACAACTACTGTGACTCATTTTTGTACTACCACGTTGTATAGTTTAGTTATTTCCAAATTGTAAACGGCTATTAAAACAGCCCTATCGAAATACAGTCCACTATTTTATTTAAGTTCGCAGTAGGACCCTTTTCATGCGATTAATTAATGATATTAAAATGTATTATGTAGAATCGCTTTGCCATTGACAGATACATCTGATGACAGAGCTTACATTATTTCTACTTTTGACCACCATGAGCGCTGCGATAGATTATGTCCCCCCCACCTAGTACCTACTTCGCACCCAGCGAATTAAGATTGTGCTGGGTTGTCACAAACACTTTAAGCATTTTTTTACGTCCATGAAAATTGTATGAGACCCAACAAAACTTGTAAAACTAGAGGATAGAGGAAGCCCGACAGGACACTGTATCGAACTTTGCAGATTTGCAAGTCGCCAGTCTCCACACTCACCAACTTTAAGGCACCAATCTAGAGTGACTGGATTTGACAGCCTATCCTTGACAAAGATCCATAAAATAGCTAACGTTAAGGTTAAGTTGCACCACCTAACTTTGACCGTAACTATAACGGTGTTTTTTATGGAGTTTGAAAATTTTTGACGTTTGTTAAAGTTAAAGTAAGATGGCGCAACTCAGCCTAAGTGAAGGACTTTAATATGCCTACCAACATTCGTCTACCGTATTATTTTTGTTACGATTTTCGCATGGGAAAGGAATATGACGGGGGATAGGCATACAATTCTGATAAGAAACGGAAAAACTCTCGCTTGCTGAAGCGAGAGATTCACCAAATCAGTATTATAGGGCCAAAACGTTTAATAGAAAAGAAATCAAAGTATGTATCTCGTGTCAAACTGGCGCCGCTTTATTAGCAAAAAACTAATAATGATCCCATTGTTTTTATCATCAAACCTATACAAAAATAAGCATGTCCAAAATATTTTAAGTCCGTTAAAACTATCCACCATCACGTCCAGCGACTCTACGTCTAAAACCGCAGCCTCAAACGGAATTAACTTTTCACCAGCCTCACTTGACCTGCCGACTTCACTGCCTTTCCCTAAATCACTCCACGCGAACTATACTCATAGCTCTACTTACACTGGCTATAGTTTAAAAGTTAACGTCATATTATGCAAAACTCGTGGAAATGTTGATCCATTTAGAAGAAGGCCTACTCTGGAAAACGAGATCGATGAAGTTGGAATGCGTCGCTGTCACTCACTATGGAATCTTTGCAAGTGGGAAAGGGATATAGAAAATATTTTAAAACGTTTTCCTAATTAACCCCTATATGCTGGAGAGTCTACAATAGGCTTGTCATAAAATGACTGAAACGGAAGGTTTAGGTTTTTCAAGAAAGTTATTTTATTACTAGAAGCTCCAGTACACAAGTACAATTTCATAATCGTTACAAGATTGAAGTTGAGTGTTTAATATAACTCATATAAAAAAACTCGTATGTATAAAATTATGTTCATTTATGTGTCACTTTCATAGAAATCTAAATTTGGAGTCTACCCCGAATTCCCCATATCCAACATCCATTATTCCACTAAAAGATCCTACAAAGCCTTTCAATTGCGAGTAATTACTAATACTATGTATAATATTTATGTATTTAAAAAAAAAGTATATTAGTAGTATATCCGTTAAGCTAGCACCCATAACACAAGCATTAAGTTGCTTACTTTGGGGCTAGCTGGCGCTGTGTGAAATTGTCCAAAGATTTATTATTATTATTTTATTATAATTATACTACTAATTAAGAAGGCTGATACCACATCATCACATTATAGCTATTAATATACACCCTTTGATTCCCCACACAATACCATAGGTCTATTGATGGTTATCAAATTACATTAGATGGAATACGGATGATGCTTATGTATTCTGTAGGTTACTCCGAAAAACGTTATCCGAAGTTTCGAATGTTGCCATTGCTCTCACACAAAGCGAGATGCCAGCATGAGCGACAGTGACAGATAGACCCGAAACTAATAAACAGCATTTCGGAGTAGTTCCCTGGTGTTGTGAGTTGTGACATGCGGGTCCTATTACTATTGTTTGGGAATAAAAGAGGTTCTATAATGTGAGAGTATTTGTTTACTGGACTGATGGGTCACCGGGTGGTTACCTGATTACTATGGCAAAGGTCGAAGGTTTGATTCCATAATACAAATATTGAACATATTCGTTTGTATTGGTTTGGGCTTATTTATTTAAGAACCAGTTTTTTGCCAGTGACCTTGTCTATGTAGATTAAATTATAGCGTAATATTTACTATTATGACGATGAAAAGTTATACCGGTACTTTTTACCATATTCACGTAATACAAATAAATATGTATCTAGCTTTATAATGAAGAAAACGATTAAAACAAATGACTACTCACCAACATGCCGAAACCGGTCCACAAAGTCCACCATTGCCTTAGCCCACGCCATTCTCTTCGCTGCATCCAGCAACCCCATACATGGCTCAATATTCCCATCATGTACCCCCACGCAATACTCCTTCAGCCCCTCAAACTCCTTCTCACAGCATTTCGCGTCAAAGTCCTCCAAAAACCAGGAGTTCTCCAAAGAACTTGTGAAAAGACCATCCAAATATGGCTTTAGAACTGGTCCCAAGTATTTTTTATCATCTTTCGCTCCTTTGTGTAGCCAGTGGAGGATGTTCTTCATGATGTTGAGGGGGTCTTTCAGGTCTTCTCTTCGGAGGTCGGGGTCTCTTCGGACCGCGTCTATGAGGCAAGCGGATGACGCATCGTAGTATTCTTTGAGTTTATTCCACTTTTTGGACCTTAAAATAATGGCATTTTGGTTAAATGGTAACTAGTATCTTGGATACACTGAAAAATACTTTTTTTTGTTGAGGAGGAAACTTGAATACAATATTATGTATATCTCTCTCTGCTATCGTAGTGCTTCAGGATCACATGTCATGATCTTTTTACCATTACACATTGCTCATAAATGTAACGTACGATACGAGTACTTCTCATGTATTCTAAAAACCATAATAATACTACACAACCTTATGGCATAAATGTGAAAATAACGGTCACTAGATGGCCATAGTTTTCTAGTTTTGTTGCCTGCGTTGAACTTTTATTGTGCAATTTAGAAAAGTTTAAAGTAAGTTTAAGAATAAAGTGGATTTGCAAGGAAGTTTGTTCTTTGTTGGCTTTCTCAGCTTTTATAAAATTGTAGGGAACTTTCTTAGCGGGTTTGATTTTGTTTAATCTGATATCAGATGCTTTTATTGTACGCAACCCCGCATAGTGCAGGAGGGGTAGCAGGCTCGAATTTAAAGGCCAAATGGTCTCTCTCGAGATATCCTGCCTGGGACTATTCTCGTTCCCTTCTCTGGACCTACAGCTACAGCAAAAAAAAAAGTTAATCAGAAATAATAGGAGTTCGCCGTCAAGGATTGACTTCCCAAATGTCCTCTAGAGCCGAGCGGATGACATATGAAAATCCAAGGTATATCTAATCTTCAGAGATAAATATAGGCATGGACTTACTATAAGAACTCATCCTGTGAGCTGTTACAGGAATAAATTTTAATTCAGAAGCATGGAAGTACCTATGTTTCTCTCACGGTAAGATGAATATAACAAACAGCAGAAATAGTAGGTACCTGTACTGAAACAGTTCCCTGTCGAACTCGCCTAAGCTTCTATACTGCAAGGTGTTCAAGTAAAGGTCTCGAGCTTGGTCCAGAGCGATGGCAAGGATGTGGATCAGTTCTTCTATAGGCTCGTCCCCTGGAGCCGTCGCCTGGATCAGGTTGGCGCGGAAATTGCTGTGGCTTTCCTGGTTATTGAGAATATCATGGAAATAGGAAATACATTGAAACATTTTGGATATGGATCATGATTATTTGTGGCATAATGTCTTGAGAAAGGTATTAATAAAAGGAGTTGTTTCTCAACGACTATCCACAAGTCTAATAAATAGGAGACATGCAGACTGTATCCGAACCACCAGCAGCTGTCTCCTGTAGTACTTTGGACCGAAACCCGGCTTCATCTCCCTGTTGGTTCTCCCAACGGCTGAACAGGACCATCTCCTGGGATTCCCACGGAGTCAGGAATATCTATTGGTGAAGTAGTCCTAACCACCAGGCTATTAAGAACTGCCTATACCCAAACCACCATGCCATTGGGAAATGGTTCATACCAGATATTGCACCTTGTTACTTACGCAAACCACCATGTTCTTGCACCGCATCAGCTCATTGGCCACTCGCCACAAGTATCACAGCTGTCTCCTGGAGTACGCTGACCCGGAGCCCGCCTTCATCTCCCAGTTGAGGCTATACCAGCGGCTGAAGAGAACTGTCTTCAGAGATTCCGTTCTTTGCGAAGTAAACTGATACCCGAACAAAACTGGCAGCCTTATTTAGACTGTATCATGCCAAATATTGTACCTAGGAACTTACACAAACCACCATGTTCTTGCACCGGACTAGTTCGTTGGCCACTCGCCATAGGTACCGCAGCTGTCTCCTGGAGTACGCTGGACCGGAGCCTGCCTTCATCTCTCGGTTGAGACTCTCTAACTCTGGGAAGTGAGCCAAATTAAACTTTATGATTTGATTACTCAAAGAAGGACACCGAGAAAAGTGATATTAAATGAATAAAGTTTGTAAATGGTGTCCCCTTTACCGCTGCTAAAATATATCAATCAGTCCAAAATTAAAACTCACTCATCCAGTATGAGCAGCAGGTGGTGCGGCGCGTGCGCTGACACGCACACACGAGCATGCGTTTGCGCATACGCGGCGCATCGGTGTGCGCGCCTTCGTAGAGCGCACATAGCCATGTAGCGACTCACTACGCGAAGTGTGCCCTGGGGACGACAAACATTGTCACTGTCATCATTAGTTGTTATGTCTGACATAAGATAAGATAAGATAAGATAAGATAAGATAATACTTTATTGCCTCGTTTTTACATGCTTTACAAACAGAAATATAAACAAAAAATTACATTAAAAAACATAAGAGGCAAAAGGATGAGGCTCAGCATATGCGAGGTCAAGCATACCCTACCCCGCGCTGATTTTCAGCCTCCTCCTTTTCCCTTAGTTGGAAGGTGGGAAACAACCAGTAAAAAGGGGAGGAGGGCAAGATTAAACAGGGGTAATTAAAATACAAAAACAAAAACCCTATAAATACAAAGACAATAATATGTATGTACGGTACTCGTTAGTTTCAGTTGATTGTGTGTGTACATGTGAGACGTGAGTGTTGTGTGTGTTGGTGTATGTTTGTTAGTGTATTTGCGTATAAGAGGAATTTAGGTTGGGATGAGTGGGAAAGAAAAAAAAAAGTGGTTCATGTACGGTATACTCGCATAGTGACTGAGTTTCTAGCCCCAGCTTCTTCTCAGCACTGTAGTGATAGGTAAACATTATCCAGTGACTTGTGTTTTTAAAACTTTCTGAATATTTTTATTTTCGTCAGAAAAATACACAAATTTTTATACCCACCAACCGCAGGAGCAGCTAGTGGGTTATTATGTGGAGTTCTACCTGCCAGAAGGGCAGGACCTGTCCACAAAAAACATGACGTTACCCTCGGTAAGCCATATGATTTGGGAACGCGGGACATCACTATCGGCGTTTTGCCTTAAGCATTCGTCCGCGTTAAACGTCCCTAGTTTAACGCGGACGAATGCTTAAAGCAAAACCTCCTATTGACGGCTGCACATACCTGATATACTCCCTCCCTCATCTTGTCAATGAGCGCGTTCAATGCCCCAGCGATCCTGGCTACAGTGGACTGGTCTGAGCAGTGCGCGTCTAGGGTCGCTTCCAGGGCCGGGTGCCATAGCTGCCAGGTAGCTGACCGCTCACCGCACACCACCGAGGATGGTGGACCTACTGCAGCTGCGTAGTAACCCTGGATGAATATACTCTAATATTATGGATACTTTTGATAAGTGTCTAAATGCGCATTCCATTATTACACATACATCAAGCTGGTTTCAACACCTTGGGAGGCATGGGAAAACCACTTAAAAGTTGTTTCATCAAGTATTAAACAACAGAAGTGAAAAGAGAATTAATGAAACAGCATTCTCCAATTACTCTCTTAAAAGACAACCCCACTGAAATTATGAATGCCAATGAGCGGTATGAAGACTAAGTCTCATACATAAAAAAAATACATGGAGTAGTAAATTCAGGAGTAGCTGCTAAGGTCAACTCACTCATGAGTCAACTTTAGCTGCTACAATTGATTTAGCTTTTTGTTCGAGAGCGGAGCAGCAAATATAAGAATACTAGAAGAAGAGGAGGATGAGGAAAATAAGAAGGATGCTAAANAATAGATTTTAATATGACTGGAACAGTGGAAATATTCCATTCCCGATACTTTTAGTGCAGCCCTCGTAATTCATCAATAATCAAATTCAGAACTTGAATATTCAACTGCATTGTCTGCTCATGAACGCATCAAACTCGGTACTTCTTTCCCAAATCCATAAAATTCAACACTTAGAAAGTGACAAAAAATTTAAAAATTGGTAGTTGAAACAAACCACACCTAATTTTCATAGTGGACTGTACTATACGATAAACATGTCAGTAAATTTGACAACCTTTGTCGGAAACATTATTCAATGAAAATATTGTCGGAATCTCAGAATACGGAACAAACCAGAAACCGTCAACGGGCGTAAATGTGTATCACAGATAAGGATAGATGCAGCATGTGTCAAAATTTGTATGAAGCCGAGCGTGCCACTTTTTAAACGTCATTAGTGTCATTTTAGCGAATTTTAGTGATTGCCGCAACGTAAAAGTAATCGTATCATCGTACTGCATTCGCAAAGTCATCGAATGATATCGTGTGACTCGATTCAAAAATTAATTAATTCCGATAAAACTGATATTTTGTTAAATTTATAGCTAGTTTGACTGTGAATTAAAATAATTATGTAGCGGTAGACGTTATTCTACAATTCTAGATTATTAATTTGCAAATAATATTTTTGTTGTACCTAATGTTTATGAAAGTAATGATCGTTATTCCATTTTTTACAGAATGTTTTTGGTGGGATACACTTTGACAGCAATAGACTGACATGCAAGGTGACATGTCAATGAAGTTTTCAGTTACTGTTGCCATTAAAAGAAATTAGTACCATTAGTTTTCCGCAACATGGCGAGGGTTTTTATGTTCCTGGTCAGGCTATAGATACACAAGTAGGTATACCAAATTTCAGCTCAATTGGTTAAGGAGAACTGGTTTTAAATTCAGTTGCAAGATTTATCCCATACTAACTAACAAGCGAAGTGCTTGTAAAAATGGTACGCATATCTTTTTTG